ATGTGTCACGGGGGGGTTGCTGTGAATCTCCCTCTTGGAATTAAACTGGTTGAACCACAGAGGATGTGCTCAGGATACCCCAAGAGATTGATGGTAATCATGGACTATAGAGTTTTGAGTATTCAGAATTCTAATCCAGGTGACCTCAGTGTAAACATGGGAGACGTAAGTGTGATTTAATTTCATAAGCTGAAACTTAATGAACTATACTAAATCCCCTCCTTAGGAAGACAGTTAGCAGAAGGGGGATGGGTAACCTTGAACACAGAAAAGGAGAAAAAGGACTCAGAGGGTAGAATTTGGCAATATTACTGCAACATTATCCAGAAAAAGTGACTTGATCAGAGGTTCTACAGCAGCCCTAGTTATTCTTTCGGAATATAAATTTGATCTTAGCACTCCATGCTGACACCTTTTCATAACATCCCAATTCCCCTAAGGCCAGGCTTACAAGGCTGTGCCTGACCTGGCCAGTGCCCTCATCTTCGGACTCATCACCCGCCTCTCCCTCCCTGGCTGCACTCCAGCACCCTGACCTACTTCTTTGTCCCTCAAACACTGTGCTCCCTTCTACCACAGGACCTTTGTACATGCTGTTCTCGCTCAAGAACTGTCTTTACTCTCCCACCCTTAATCACAAGCATAGTTAACTCTTACTCATCCTTTGAGTATCAGCCCAAGCCCTTCTTCCTCAGGAAAATCTTCCAGAACCTCATAACCTTAGACCAGCATAAGTCTAGCTTCTCTGCATACACTTGACACTGTCTACCATATCTTTCTAGTGCTTTATCACAGTTTTAATGTTCTATTTACTGGTGAGATCATTAAAACTGTGATCTGCCTTCCCAAATCTACTGAAGGCCTTGAGTGCAGAGACTACATGATTGTCTTTTTTGCTCACCGTTGTAACCTTTTCCAGCACATAGCAAGTCCTCTGCACATATTATTGAATTAGTTAATCAGTCAAATCTAGATCCTCTACAGATTGATCCCTAGAGGCTAAATGAGTGTCTCAGGATGTCACAGCATGGCGTCCATAGCAACTCACAGCATCCAGCCACCCCCTTTGCTTATCCATACTCAGTAAGCAAACTTCTGATGAGTTATTGTCGTTTCATGTTTATTTTCTTATAAGAGAGAAGGCTACAGAGGCTATGTCTCTTGGCAATTACATTTCACATTATAATATAATCTACACATCATGTATTCCAGCTTCTCTTGTAACTTAGAGATCCAAATTTTGGGGACAGATCATCTTTACTAATTATTTCATTCAGGAAGCATTTATTAACCACTAATGCCAGGTACGATTCAAGACATCTGAGGTACAGAGAGAACAAGACAAAGAGTCTATACTGTCAAAAGCAGGTTTCCAGATACACAGGACTATGACTCAACCCTGGATGTCCTGTCACCCCAACCATGACATCACTGAGTGAGATCCTGCCTCTCAGAGGCCAGCTCTCTCAAGTTCCTCTCTTGTCCTAATCACAAAAACTTTAGGGACATAGGAGTTCCTGAAAAGCTATGAAGTTCCTTGAGGATAAGATTCTTAACTGGCTTTATTCTTGCATTCCTCACAATGCTAGCAAAGATACATGAAAAAAAAATGCTGTATTTAAACTGAAATTTAGAATCTACTTTTAAAAGAAACAAATGAACATTTTACAATTAAAAAATGTGGTATCCAGAATTAAGAACTCTTCTAACTGGTTTAACAACAGCATGGCCATAGCAATAGGTGGGTTGAACTCAAGGGCAGTTCAGTAGGAAATCCAAAATGAAGTACAGAAAGAACAAATATTATAAAAAACAGAACAGAAAATAAGTTTTGAGACATGGTCAAAAGTTGTAACATATGTATAATTAGAATTCGCCCAAAAAGAGGAGAATGGAACAGAAGCAATATATGAAAAAGTACCGTTTGTGAATTTTCCAAGTCAGATGAAATACACAAAGCCACAAATTCAAAAACCTCTGTGGGATCCAAGAGGGGAGATTACAAAGAAAACCACATTTAGACACATCACAGTCAAAATGCTAAACGTCAAAGACAAAAGGCAAAATCTTACTAGATTTTTTTAAAAGGCATATTTCCTTCAGGGTAACAAAAAATGAGAAAGAGTACCGAGTCTCTCAACATAATCTGTGGAAGCCAGAAGGAAATGAATGGCATCGTCAGAAACTGGAAAGAAAGAACTCCCAACCTAGAACTCTATACCCAGTGAAAATATCCTTCAAAAATAAAAATGGAGATATTCCCAGACAGACAAAATCTGAGACGACTTGTCAGCAGCAGACTCTGATAAGCTGTGCACATGGAATATAACACCCAGAGCAACCACCAGGAAACCGTACAAAGATACACACTCAAAGAGGACCATCAAAATGAAATTCTAAAAAATGTTTAAGTCATCCACAGGATGAGAGGAAAAAGCAAATGAAGAGATGGAAAAACGTATAACAAACGAAACAAAACAAAACAAAAGGTAGACTTAAGTCCTAACATAGTAATAATCACATTAAATGTAAATAATCTAAGTACACCAATTAAAAGACAGAGTGAATTTTAAAACATGACCCAACTATATGCTGTCTGCAAGAACCTCATCTGATGTGCAATGATTTAAGCCGGATGTAAGTAAAAGGATGGGAAAATATATCATGCAAATAATCAAAAGAGAGCAGGCTTCGCTATTCTAGTATCACATAAAGTAGATTTCAGAGCTGATAAAATTATCAAAAAGACAGGGAAGAATGTTATAGATGATAAAAGAGCCAATCCACCAAAGATGCCGTAATCCTAGCTGTGCGTACACCAAACAGAACTACAAAATATGGCAAGCAGGAACCAATAGAACTGAAGGGGAACCCAGAGGGGTCCACAGTTATTGCTGGAGATTCAACGCCTCGTTCTCAAGAATTGATAGAATACTAGGCAAAAAATCATCAGCCAGATGCTGGAGAGCCCACCGCATCATCAACAAGCAGAATCTGACTGACGGTGACAGGGCATTTCACCCGACAAACAGAATGCATACGCTTTTCCAGTGCCCGCGGAACGTAGTCCAAAGTGGACCATATCTTGTGCCATAGAACAAATCTCGACAGACTGACAAGAACTGAAATCATGAAGAGTGCGTTCCCCTACCACAAGGGGGTCAAACTAGAAATTAGCAACAGAAAAAATAAGAAAATCTCCAGACACGTGAAACTGTACAACACACTGCTAATTCATAGGACAAAGAAGAAATGAGAAATCAAAACATATAATGAAAATGAAAATATAAGACATCAAAAATATCTAGGCAATAAATAAAGTAGACCTGAGAGGGAAATTTACAGCACTGAACACGTACATTAGAAAAAAGAGGAAAAAGCTCAAATCCATCATCTAATCTCCCTCCTTCAGAAACTAGAAAAAGAAGAGCGAAAAAAAAAACAAACCAAAGTGAGCAAAAAGAAGAAAATTAAGAAGTTGAGAAGGAAGAGATTAAGAGCAGAAATCAGTGAAATTGAAAACAGAAAAACAATAGAGAAAGTCGATTCAATGAAACAGAGCTGGCTTTTTGAAAATTATTGATAAAATTGACAAACCTCTAGTAAAACCAACAAAGAAAAAAGGGGCCACAAATTACTGGCATCAGGAATGAAACTGGAGTTAGCGCTACTGGCTGCAGACGTCAGAAGTGTAATAAAGGAATCCTGCTATGATTCTGTCGATGTGACATTCCCCAAAGGACAAAACTGGAGAAATGGAGAACAGATCAGAGGTTTCTGGGGATCAAAGCTGGCATGGCCGTGGGAGGGAAGTGAGTATGAGTCTGAACCAGCAGCTTGGTGTAGGGGTCCTTGTAGTGATAGGATCCGTATCAATGGGGATGTCGATATCCCGGTTGCGACCTCATGCGAGAGCTCTGCAGGACATTACCCGTGGGAAAAACCTGCTAAAGGGTACGTCTCTCTGTGTCAGTCCTTACAACTGTCCATGATTCCACCATTAACTCAAAATAAAACATTCAACTTTTTAAAATGCCTTTTATTGTAGTATGGTTCCTGTACAGTAAACTACATATTTCAGATGTATAATTTGATGAATTTGATAGATGTTTACACCCATGAAACCACCACCACAATCAAGTTAGCTGACATTTCCATCCCTCCCCAAGAGGTGCAATTTTCAAATTCCCAATTTATCCCTTCCCACCCGCTTTAACCCCTGGTAACCGTAAGTAAAACTGAAAAGCACAGTGCATAGCTGCATGCAACCACATAAGTGAATCTTGCAATCATAATGCTAATTGGAGGAAGCCAGACATAAAAAGGTTTATACTGTATGATTCCATGTCCAAGAACAGGCCGTACAAATCCACAGAGAAGTCAGAAGGGGTGGTTACCTACAGGCCAGAAAGCGGTGTGGGGGAGAGTTCAGGACCAACGGAAATATGTTCTGTTTTTAAACTGAGGGGCAGCTATATGGTTATATGTAAAAATTAGCTGTAAAAATTAATAAACCTGATTGGGTATACTTTATGTAAATCATGCTGCAATAAAAATAATAAATGAAAGAATGAGGGAATGAATGAATGAATGAATGGGGAAGTGGAGGCGTGAAAGAAGATGGAGCGTTAAGAAAGAACCCGGCTTCAGCCGTCCAGTGTGACAGGGAGCAGAGTACCCTGGGGAGGCCTGAGATCAAAGGTGAGACGGCAAAGGAAGCTAGAGGCCAAGCCGAGGACTTTTAACTTTATCTGGCGGGCAATGGGGAGGCACTGATGGATATTTTAAACCGAGTAGTGCAGCGATCAGCACTGCTTTAAGGGACCACATTCTGAGCACTGTCCTCCAGCTGACACAAGGATCTGAGTGCAAAGCCCCTTGGGAACCGGAGGTGGATGGTTGCCTGGCTCTGCAGGCTCCCGGTTTGGGGCTGGATGCTGACAGGTGATCAGGAACCAGAGACAAGCTCAGCTTGATTGCCTGTGTGCTTGGCACGCTCATCCTTTGCAGTACACGTCCCAGCGCCCAGAGAAAGAACAAGAATGCTTGGGGCCTGCTGGGAGTCCAGGTCCATACAAGGTCTCACCATGGTGACCTCACTTTCTATCCACCTGCAGACACGTCCACAGAAGCAATTTGGGGTTTTCCAGGCCAATCCCTATGTTCATGAAATGTTGCAACTCCAGGTACCACAAATGACTGCTCACTTCCCCATCCCCGAGGCCACCACCAGCAATCAGCTTCCTTAGCTAACTTCTAGAGCTAATTTTCCTTGTTCTCATTAAACTTGCTTTTGCTATTTTCCATTGTTTTCCATTTTCTTCCAGAAAAATAAAAGGAAGAAAGGCAAGAAAGGGAAAATGGGGAAGAAGGATAAGGACCTGACGGCTGACAGGTGAGGTGTGCACAATGTGGGAGGGGGCACCCCAGAGAAGAGCATAGGATGAGACCTGGGTCCTCAGCTTGGCCGCTCCTAAACCACCCCCTCCTCATCCTCAGAGTGTGGTGGGGAAGCGCGGGGACCCTCTGCAGCCCTGCACGCGGGGCAGCTTCCTAGACAGGAGAGATGCAACCGAGGGGGGGGTCCAGGAGGCAGACTCAGGCCCCAGCGCTTCTGAGATCATGTGACTTTTTAAAGTTCTAAAATTCGTGGGGTTCTTCAGAAATTTTTTTCCAAAATAGCATCCCTGCTGCAATCTCTGAGGGTGGACTGAGACCGCCCTCCTTGAGGACAGACAGTGCACGCTGCCTCCACGCCCCTGGGCCTGGCGGCCGAGGAACCTCATAAATGCTCCTGAAGGAGGAGGGAGGGCTAGTCTCCTTGCCGGGGGGTACCTGCATGTCTCCGAACTTAATCGGCTGAACTTCAGTGCTAACGATGGTTTTACTACTTTTTTTTTGTTTGTTCTGGGTTTGTTTGTTTTGTTTGTTTGTTTTTTTCTTGGGGGTGGAGGTAGTTTTGGGGGTTTTTTTGTTTTTTTGTTTTTAATGGAAGTGCTGGGGATTGAACCCGGGACCTCGTGCGCTCTGCCGCTGAGCTACGCCCTCCCCCTCGATACTAATGAATAGTTTTAATTTTTAAAGTTTCAGTTTTTAAGCTGAAAAGGCCTTCAGTGCTTTAACATAGGAAATAAATAGAACCTAAGTTTTCGGATTTTTTTCAAGGAATTTCATTAAAATCCCTAATAAGTGAGTGTCAGAAACCATCTTGAACACATACCTTGCTTCCCAGGAGTCTGTTGACAGGTAACACGTGCTGCTCTGGGTGTGGGGCGCCCCACTGTGGGCGAGGTGATACATTCCCGGACTCTGCCTGAGAGCAGATCCCCGACAGAGGGAGCCAGCTTGGAACCACCCACAGGGAAGTGGGGACCAGCGCACCCCAGCGCTGGTGCACGTGCCCGGGGCCCTGGTGGACAGCCCCGGAGAGACACCCAGACTGGGTGCGGGCGTTGGCTCTGGAGAGAAAAAGCACCCACGGGACAGCCCGAGAGGGAGGAGCTGCAGCTTCCTCACGGGAGGTTCTATTGTTCGGGGAAAGTTCCAGGTTAAGAGCTGTGGCCGACTGCTTCCTGGTGGGGCCTGGTCTGCATTCCGAGACGCAGGTGCCCAGCTCCTGGGGAGCCCCCCAGCTACCCATGCACCCACACAAGGGACGTCACAGTCCCTTCCCCAGAGGAGGGCCCAGCCCCTGCAGACGCACAGGGCCATGGCTGTCCTTTAGTGACTGTTCAATGCCACTTTTCTCCTTTGTCCTCACATCAGTCCCAAGTAGAGTCTTTTAGGAGTAGATCCTGCTACGTGTCTTACTGGATGACAACCCAGAGCTAAAATCAGATCTGCCTATATGATCTGACCACTGAGCTAGAATTACTCATTCACATTCTCTGCATTTAAAGGCTCGCTTAACTGAATAAAGCACTGCTTTAACAACACAGAGCACGCACGTGTGGCTCGTGGACAATGTCTATGAGACGATGAATATGTTCTCGGCATACTTCTTTACAGTTGAATTATCATCAGTGGGCTACAAACAACTCTCTAGCGCAGTGAAGAAAGACCAGTAGTATTCACTTTTGTGGCCCGAAGTACAGGATCTCACTCCTGGAGACTTCTCATTTTAAAGACACTATGTTACTCACGGAGAGGGATTCAGCAGGTGGGCCGCTCCGCTCTGGCTGGTTCTCTGCCAAGACACTGTAACACAGCTTGTTTTTCTCATCAAGTTTCTGTAAACCTTAAATCGGTATTTTTATCATAATTCACAAGGTAGTCTTAAAGTTGAACATTTTTATTCCAGAGAAGAATTTATTTCACTGGAAAGATCCAAATATAGGTTTATGTTTCAGGTGTCTTTAAGAAATTTGGTTTTGATTATTTTAGAGAACCTTCTTTAATTTTATGTTAATATTTTACATGTATTATTAACTAAGTATTCAAAACACTACAGCTGATACTTAGATATATTTGATAGAATAAGATTTCAGTCAATCAAAGGCCGGAGTCATTGAATTAACATCCATCCCAATGTATTTGCCTTGAATCTAATTAATGTCCTTGAGCCTCCCTTAACCACACTAACCTGGGTCATAGAACAGTTTAAGCATAGATGTATTTCAATTTTTCAATCTAAAGAAAGACTGGGGTTGAACCAAAGCATAAGGCCCCCAGAAATGTAGAGAAAAGACCAAACATCTCAAAGGGTTAGACTGAGCAGCCTTTGAACTTGACCCACCTGTATTCCCGTAAGCCGAGCCTCAGCTAATTTCACTGGGAGTGTCATTCAGTACATGGGATCCTATCTCCATTTTCTCCCTCAGTTAATATAAACGATCAGTGTGCTGGCTACATGCCCAAAGCCCTCTTAGAGAAGTGGTTTTGTCGTCTGTAAACACTATGGAAAAGTGTAACATCCTCCTAGACAATTGTTACACTCACAGCTTGAGGCCTTTGCAGTCCATCTTAAAATTATTTCCCTTGTAAGCCTTTGTTCTTTGTAGATACTTCTCTTGAACTATTATGCTATTGGGTTAAAAGGAAACATCAATTTTATGAAGGATTAATGACCTACTACAGCCTGCAGATGCTAACTGAATGTATAATTACAGGCCCCTTGCGTTACTACTATTGGGTGATTTCTAATCCATATTTGTGTCGTCGTGAAGACTGATGAAAGGGCAGACGGCAGGAGTGCTAGCTGGTTTCAGATGCCCAAAGAGATCATTCTTATTAATGGGAAACATCAGATATACACATGGATGAGTGAAAACATTGTTTTTAAAAAGCCTAATTTATCCCCAAATTGTAGAAATGCTTCAAAAATCAATTTATTTGCATACACACAAATGTACTTGGAAAGAGATCTGGTTAAAGTTCTGTGTATATGATGATTAACATAAACTCTGCTACTTCTGTGCGACGTGTGTGCTCATGAAATCCGTGGCTTGCTTTATCCCCAGGACCATTGAATCTCTGTATAAGGAGCTCGTGGAAGAGGGGTTACTGATCCAGGCTCTGAAAGTCAACCTCTCTGACTACATCGGTAAAGTACACAGAGAATAACATGTTCGTCTCCCATGGACCACCCCTTGGGTTTTGAGAATCCAGCGATTGGAAATGTATTTCATTTGTGTTTTTGTCTAACCACGTATCTGGCCTGTAGTGGCTTGTAGTCAGCGTTTGTGGAACTGAATTGGTTTGAGTTCGTTCTGCGCTGTGAACTAATGGCCCAGCTCTCTCCCCTTAATGTGGTGCAAGCAGGTTTCCAACCCTGCTAACAGGTTCCTTGGGGCATTCTTTGGGGCTTAAGCTAAATTGAAGAAATGAAGACTTGTTCGTGCTTTCCTGGTTATCAGAACGCCCTGGGGCGGCACCTGGCACTCCCACCACCGAGTCCTCCCAGGGGGGCTCCTCCCAGCAGGGGCCACCACAGGAGGGGTTGGGGGGGAGAGGCGGGGACATTTCTATCACCAGCTTTAGCTAATGTTTTTCTTTTTAATTTTAAAAACAGTATGAAAACGTATTTAAAGCTTAAAATTCATCATAATCCCACACCCTAATGCATCTACGGTCAGCGAGGACGTTCTTCCACATAATCACAAAAAAGTCACAGCCCAGAAAGTTGACATTAATATGATACTATTACCTAATATCTAGCTAATAATTCGTTTTCCCTAGAGCCCTAATAATTCCCGAGAGCCCTAATAGTGTCCTTTGTAGTTGTTCATCTTTCTCAATCCAGAGTCCAGTGGGTGGTTGTGGATGTGATGGCCATCCCTTTTTAGTCTCCTTTCCCTCCTTCAATCTAGACCAATTTACAGGCTTTTTCATTGACATTTTAAAAGAGCCCGAGCTGTTTACAGACTGTCTGTCAGCTGAATTGGTTTGATGTTTTCCTCCTGGCTTGATTCACGTTCAACATTTTTTACAGGAAAACTAGAGGTAGTGTTGTGTCCGCCTCAGCCTTCACCATGGGGACACACGATGGCTCCTTGTCTCATCACTGGTGGTGTTAAGTTTGATCACTGGTGTAGGTGCTATCTCCCCAGATTTCTCCACTATAAAGCTTCATTTTCCCCTTTGTAATCTATGAATAATCTGCAGGAGGACACTTTGAGGCTCTGAAGTTTCTGTTCCCAACCGTCTTAAAGGTTTGAGCCCCCGCTGAGGGTTTTTGCCTGCATCAGCTACTGCTGCGGTGGTTGTGTTACCAGAGAGTAGGTTCTTGTCTCATCGCAGAGAAGAATTCAGAGATGAGACACAGAGGTCAGGGAGGTAAAGTGAGGATTTATCAGGTGGTCAGACACTCTCAGCGGAAGAATGGGCAGACCAGGCGAGTAGCTGTGCTGAGTTTCTTTGGAAAGCTGGTTATATGGGGTGTAAAAATGAATGGGTGGAATATTTATTGGAGGTAGGGGTTTAAGGTCATATTCCCTGATTTTCATCCCAGCTCAGTCTTCTGGAGAGGAAGAGAGGTTTTTGCCCTTATTTAGTCTTGACCAGAAGTGTCATGGTGTCGGCACATTGATGGACACTTACCTGCAAGGTTAATTTTACTGTAATGAGCGTATAATGAGGCTCAAGGTCCACTAGAAGTCAAATCTTCCACTGTCTTGGACCTAGTTGGTTCTAACCAGTTTATGCCTTTTCCTCAATGGCTCTGTCATTCTTTTAATGGTGGTGCCCAGCCCCCTTCCCTCCTGTCCCAGTTGTAAAATGGGAGTGTTCTGTTTCTTTCACTCTTTCCGTATTTATTAGGTGCTGTTCTTCTGGAGAGATTTCCCTCCCGCCCTCCTTTTAAAATTGTTGCAATATCAGTGTGGACACATGGATTCTCTCTTTTTAAAATTACATTATAACCATTTCCATGCTACTCATTCCGACGTGTCCGCTGGCCTGATTTTGGCCTGGGGGAGCAAAAAGGCTAACACTTCCCTCGGATCAAAAAATAATCACTTTAATCCCTTTGAAATAAAGCCGCATTTCCTTCCTGGGGACTTGGAGGAGCCTTTATATTTCTAATGGTTGAAGATTTTACCAGAAGAGGTATTAGAACAGGTATTGGATTTCTATTTGTTTTATGTGTTTCTTGTTCAAGTACTGTTGGGTTTTCCCCTGGATTGCCTTGATTATGTTCTGCTAATTCTGTTCCTATGGAAAAATAACCCTTTGCACAGAACGCTGTCTCTTCACTTACGGTGGGACCTCTGAGTTCTCCCCCCTTGTCTGCTTGCTTCCTTTCACATCGTGTCCTTTCTTCTCGCCACTGAATTCCTACTGCTTAGTGTAGTGCCTGGCACGTGCGAGAGTCTCAAAACATTGCTGAACATATTTCTCATTTTCTTATTAATTTCTTATCTAGCTTGGATTTTTTCAATGATTTCTTTGTCAGTTTCCAGGTGGCTCAGGTCAAAGCGAATGAAAGCAGCCACTTAAGAGTGACCTCGGCGGGGGAAGAGGGGAGGGTACAGCTCAATGGTAGAGCACGTGCTTAGCATGCGTGAGGTCCTGAGTTCAATCCCCGGGACTTCCATTTAAATAAATAAGTGAATAACCTAATTCCCCCTCCAAACAATAAATAAATAATTTTTTTTAAAAGAGTGATCGCAAATGAAAATGACTCAGCCTAACAAAATTTGTCAAGTGGCCATGAGGACTGGCTCCTTCTGGTCCTTTCCATGTTTTTCTTATTTTTTCCCAGTTAAGATCCTTAGCTTAAAAAGATGGAAATGGATCTGTATGATATCACTTATATGTGGAATCTAAAAAAAAAAAGGACATAAATGAACTTGTCTACAAAACAGAAACAGACTCAGAGACACAGAGAACAAACTTATGGTTACCAGGGGCTAAAGGAGGTGGGAAGGGATAAATTGGGAATTCAAAAATTGCACCTCCTGGGGAGTGATGGAAATATTAGCTATCCTGATTGTGGTGGTGGTTTCACTGGTGTATACATTCATCAAAATCCATCAAAGTGTACATCTGAAATACGTGTAGTTTACTGTACAGGAACCACACCACAATAAAGCTGTTAAAAAAAAAAAGATGGGAGTGGATATTTCCAATCCCCACATGAAAATGGAGTAACTGCACGGCAAAAGCAAAAGCCTGTGGATGGCGCTTACATGAGACCGAAATGACCAGGTGTCCCCTCAAAACGTAAAGTACAAGCCCTTGGGGACACAAAACAGAAGACCCCCAAAGCACCAGCAGGCACTCACTGGGAAGCACCGCAGTCCAAGGTAATGCCTGCAGCCGCATCTGGGAGCGGTCCTGCTCGCTTCAGTAGCAGGTGAGTGAACACGGGCAGAGTCAGAAAGTATGAAGGGGTGAGGACTGTCCAGCCTCCAGACACTCTTAAAAGCGATGCATCACAGCTCCCTTGCAAGGCAGCGCCTGACGCTGAGAAGACGCTGTTGGGAGTGAAATCACAATCAAATGGGCTGGGAACAATAGAGATGCTGGAGAGGAGATTCCACAGGACCAGGCCATCTGGAAAAGCAAGTCACCGTGCTTTTCACACATGTGTAAACAACAGTTTAAAAAGCTACCCTGACGCAAACGATTTTCTGAAAATACAGGATTAGTAACTCATATAAATTTAAGCAGTAGAGAAGTTCAAGATTGAAATTCATGCAAAGTTTCTATGAAAAAAAAAAGAAAGAGTAAGGAACAAAGGAACATCACAAAAAGGCATGCCCATGAAGCAGGCAGCACTGGAACCTGATCCTTCACACCAAGCTAACATGCATCAAGAAACGGCTAGAAGATAGGTAAAAATACATAAAATAGAATTAGAAAACTGAAGAAATGAGTTGGACAGCATTCGAAGAACATTTTAAGCGGAAAAATTATTTTAGGAAAACCTAAATTACAACAAATACAAGAATGAATAAAGGCAACAAATGATGCTTTAAGAGAAATGAAATGTGAAAGACAGAAAGTTTTAAAACTAGGAGTAAAGAATGAGGTTACAAGGTTTCAAAAGAAAGGAACAAATACTAAGGATGGGCAAGGAAAATCCAACGTGGAGATATCACAGGCCCCTGAAGAGGAAAACCAAAGCAAAGGAACAGAGCAAATACTAAGAACAATTATCCATGAAAGATTTGTTTCTCCTTGAAATAATTTCAGCCAGCACATAGAAGTCCAACAGCAGAGTTAGGACACCACCGCGCTGCTGCCTCCAGCAGATCTGGGCGATGGTCGTCTGTGACTGCTCATGTCACAAAAAGTGACAACCACGCATCCTGGGCCTCCCGGTGTAAAAGCTCAGCACGTCCTAAACTTTGCAAGGGACGAGCCTCCAGACTCAGCTGCCAGTTTGCAGGATGTGCAGAGGAGCGCGGAAAACAGCCCGCGGAGTGCAGACCGTGGGGGATGCTGCAGACGCCCAGGTGGGTGTCTTTCTTTCACAGGTGGATTGTGCTGAAAAATGAAAGAGGGAGACGGACCCTGAAGGTTCACACAGACTCCCAGGGCAAACTGCAGTCTCTGAGCACACGCAGTGCAGGGATGGTGCCAAGAACAAACGCAAGGCCAAGATGTCTCTGGGACGTGGGTCTGTCCTGGATCTGGAGAAAAGGGAGAGAGTTGTGACTGGGAGGGGCACATGGGGGACAGCTGTTTCTGGGGTGGCTCAAAATGTCATTTTACAAGCGAGGCAGCCATTACCAGGATATTCATCTTACAAGAATTCACTAGGCTGCACATTTCTTTAGTGTTTTCTGTATCTGTGTTTTATTTTACAGTGAAAGGGTACTTTTAAAAGAGCCTTAGCTCCTCAAAGAGGTGGGGAATAGCTTCCGGTGTTAGCTGCCTGTGTGTCCTGCCGGGGACGCCAGACTGGCCTCTGCCCAGGCCTGGGGTCCCACACGGGAGGGGTGCCCTAGTGCTGGCCCCATCGCCCCCGTGTTGTGGGTACACACGTGCGCAGGCGTGCACACGCGTGTTCACACACCTGCGGGTTACCTGGGCTGCAGCTTCTCTGCCCTGCAGGCGGCAGCGTCCTTCCCCTCCTTGTTTCTCCCAGAGATGCTGTTATTCTGTGCCATGCTGGGTTCCTCACAACCTGCGTCGTAGTCACACCTGCAATGTTCTAAGAATGGCAGCCAGTGCTTCCCTAAGCGTAACTATTTAGATTGTATGAAAGCCTTGTGTTCTCAGATAGAGCCTCAGCCAGCCTTTTTTTTTTTTTTTTGACCATAGAATTTTCTCCTGGGACATACGTGTCTGCATCCTTCTTGAATTCAAGTGCATTCTTGGGAGAAATGGGCCACAGAGGGGCTTTTTTACCATCCCAGCCTTGGCTTCCATCCTGAGGAGGACCCAGCCAGCTGGAAGGGGGCTTTGATGCTGGGCAGGCACTGGACTACTGATGGCCGGCTCCCCTAACCCGTTTCTGATTCTGGAACAGACCACCCAAGCCTGCAGGTGCCCTTCTCCAGCCTGGCAGTGTAGACCTCCCAGATCAGGGCAGCCGCTCCCCAGTCAGTGCACGCAGGGCGGCCGTGAAGCTGCTTACCTGCTTCTGACACTCGTGGGTCAGGCTCGTCTTCTCGTCTAAGCCGGGAATTAGGAGAGAGGGGCCCAGCGCCCCTCATCCTCAGCTTCCTGATGTCAGTGTTACATCTTGGTTTCTCTTTATCACTTTGACACAGAGGCGTGGTTCCTGCATTACCCATTCTTTTCTGGGCTCTGGAGCTGCTAAACTGACGCTCAGAGCACTTCCGTCCTCCGTCTGGGCGAGCCGGGCAGGGCAGGTGTCAGCTGTGCCTCGCCTCTTCCCCATCCAGGTGGGGACAGAGCACGGGCCTTCAGACACGGAACGTGGCCACGTGGTTTGGACATCCTCCACTGACCGGGAACCCTATGCCCACGTCCAGGCCTGCTCAGCACTGCTAGGGCAGTTTTTTGTGGGGAAAGGGGGTTATGATGTATAATTCCACTCTCTTCTAAACGCCACTCAACTCCAAACACTCACTAGAAGCAGCAGTGAGGGCTGAAGGAGACTCGGAAGAGGAGGAAGCCCAAGCTCGTAGTGTCCGGCTCCCCCCAGGCGCAGCCTCCAGCCCCCCTGCCACTCCCGTTCCTCGCTCTGTCCCTGCACACCTGCCCAGCTCGAGCACCGGTCCTGTGCCCAAAAGCCAGCTGCTGCCCCAGCCTCACATATGCAAGAAGAAGCACATTTCTTTATTCTTTAAATCTTAATTTAGCTTCACAACTGCTACACTGCCGAGGTTATTCAAACTCAGTCCTCCTTACGAGCCACCCCCCTGCCCCCACGTGTCACCAAGGTCCCCAGTTCCCACATGCTGCTTGGATGCCAGGGAGATATTCAGGGCCCTGGTGCCCACCAAGACCCCACAGTGCCTGCAGGGGCCACTCAGGTCTGCCCTGGACTCTCTCTCAGTGCGGGCTCCCTCCCTGCTCCCTCGTCCCCCATGCCAGCAGGACACAGGACTGATGCCCACTGCTCAGGGCCCCTAACCAGCCTCCTCTCACCCCCAGGCTAGGAATGTCTCCTCCCTCCCTCCTTCCGAGGCTGCCACCCTCCGGGGTGCTTGTCCCTTGTGGAATCTTTCTGTGCCTCAGTTTCCACAGTGATGAGGATGGATGGGAACAGCAACCGCTTGACGAAATTGCTTTCAATATTTAAGGAGCCAGGAGATGGAGGACTCCAGGCCGCGCGGGCTCGGAGCTGGCTGGCTCCCTGCTGCGACTGGCGGCGCCGTTCTCGCCCGGGCTTCCGCGGGCTCAGGCTTTGCCAACAAGAGGGCTTGTGACTTCATGGTGCCTCCGAGCACCTCCCTCCCTGTCCACGTCACAGAAGCACGAAGCACCGAGGCCAGCACTGCTGGGGGAGGAAATACAGAGGGACACACATGATGACTACCCCGCCCGCGGTCCAGGAGCCGCTGCGTCTGGTGGGAGAACGGACACCCAGGCCAGGCTGGTGCTTCCTGCTTTCTCCTTGGCATCCAGAGCCCGCCCTTGGGAGGAAAAGACTCCAGTGGCTCCCCCAGACCCCACCCGAGAAAACGTGCCTTGTACATTTACATGAGAAAAGCATCTAAAGTGTGGGAATCTGTGTGCCCCGTGGTGCATAATCCTGGCAGAGCTGTTGCAACGGAACGTTCACCTGGAGAAGCCTCTGCTGACTCCATTCTGGAGGCTGGGTAGCCTGCATCCGTCACCAATTTTATAAACAAGTCACTACCCTGGATTGTAACCGCGCAGCATGCATAGCCGTGCTCATCTTGTTGTTAGAAGAAGATGCCCTGTGTGCCCCTGGCAATGTCCCGGGCAGGGGCCGGCACGTCCCGGCGGGGGACCTGAAGACCTACCAGCGTCATTTGCTGTCTTGGCTCCTCCTATGTTCTCCATCTCCTTTTCCTCAAGTAATTTCTTTAAGAAGCTAGTATTTTTTTTAAATAAATTGCTCTGTACTTCATGCTCTTTTTAATGCTATGGGGGTGGAAGGAAAACATTAGAGGCCAATTCCACCTTTATTTCGCAAATATTTTGTATTTCTCACCATTTTTTAAGTGTGTTTCACGTTCCTGCGCTCATTACTTCCTCCCTCTGGGTTCATTCGGTAGGGCTGTGGCCACAGCCGCAAACAGGGCAGCTTAAACAGCAGAGAATTACTCTCTCCCACTGCTGGAGGCCAGAAGTCCCAGCCCTAGGCTGGCTTCTTCCAGAGGCTCTGAGAAGGAATCTGTTGGCTGCAGCCCCGGGCCTCTTCCAGCTCCCACTTCCTTCCCCTCCCCAGACCCATCCATCCTCCTCTGCCCGGACGCTAGGCCGCTCTCGGTCTCGCGTAGCTTGAAGCGACCTCATCATTCCATCCCTCGTCCTGTCCCCTGGGGGCTTGCGGGCAGTCTTCGGCGTTCATTGGCTTCTGCTGCATCACTCCATCTCTGCCTTCATCTTCACAAGACCGTCTCCCTTTGTGTGTGTCTGTGTCCAAACTCCCCCTTTTTATAAAGGACACCAGTCCTATTGGAGTAGGACCCACCCTAAAAACTTCAGCTTAACTTGTTACATCTACAACAATCTTGCTTCCAAATACGGTCACGTTCCGAGATCCTGCAGGTTAGGGCGTCACCACATGGATACTAAGGGGACACAGCCCAACCCGTAACGCATCCCTGTTTCTTTCCCTCCTGCTGTTCCAGGTGCCCTCGCCCCTTTTCATGCCTTCTGTCTCCAGCACCTTTTCATCCACTCTTTCCTCCTTCCCTCCCTTGGGGAAGACCCGGAGTCTGTGCAGGCAGTCCCGAAGTGTCCAAGCTCCCAGTGAGCAGGTGGGAAGGGCTTGTGGTTTCCAGGCTGGGCGACAGCAAAACCTCCTAATGTGCTTTCAAAATGAGTCTTCTCACTTGGCAAATGGTCCTTCCCTCTACCAGAGTCAACACCCACTAATTCAGCTCAATTTGTCTAAGTAAAATATGGTCGGGTCTAGAAAAGATGGCGCACCTGGGTATTAACTGAGATTTACTTGAGCAGGAAAACAGGGGTCACCTTCCCATCCCCTCTTGTGTGGTGTTTACAGCAGTCAGTGCTGGATTTAACGGTGGCTGCAGGATCTCTTCCCGCTCTGGTGAAGGCGAATTAACCACGCTCCCATTTATTACCTGCTCATTAAAACGTGTGGGCTCAGAAGGCATCATAGAAGCTTTCATTATCACTCATCCCCCTCACCAGTACCGGCGCCCTTGCCAAGGACTTTTTTTTTCACACAGAGGCTTTAAAAGGCTGTCCTCCACAACAAAACAGCAATTATTATCTGGTTTTCACCTTAATTTTCTTAGCATTCGAAAATGCTTTCAAGCCCTGGCTATTGAATATTTTGCCTTCAAATTCAGGTACAAATCAAAAGAGAATCATAGGAGCATGTAAAAGTCCATCCTCGTGACAAATGGAGACAGCCACACTAATTTTCTTGGTGACCTTATCTAAATTAGTTAGAAAATAACACTTGAGATTTATGACCAGTTACAATTAAGCCCTTTGATGCCTTCTAATTAAACATGTAAAGATTTATTTCAGCATTATTCCTTTGGTAATCCTTTAAAAATGATACAAATGTTAATGAATCTCACCCTCAGAAGGAGATGTTTCTATTTATCCTAAATTAGACTCAGAGCCTTCCTTTCAAATGGTGGTACTTTAGGTTCAGATTTACACTGCTCCAGTACAAATTTCACATCAGGCTTAAACACTTGGTTTCTAAAGTTTGTGCAAATGTTATACGTGACCTCTTGGAACAGAAATTAAATAGAACCGACTGTATTTCAGTCTACTTCGTAGGCCCTTCATTTTAGAACTTTGTTCCTCCCTTACCAAAACTCAAAGGTATTTTTTTTTAATACTGGGAGGTGAGAATCCCACTCAACATAACGCCCAGTGATTACAGTGAGCGTAGAGGAGGTTTTGCAGCTGGATAGTTGTTCTTCAAGCCTGCGTCTCAGAGCAGACGTGTTCTTCGTAATGACTCTCCGTCATATGATTATATTTGCTTAGAAATGTTAGATTTGTATGCTGTGTTAATTTTGCAAGTGCCAAAATCACGCCGGCAGACCAGCGCGGCTTCCCACTCATCCGCCCTGTTTCTTCTCCCCCCCAGGCGAGTACAGCTACCTGGGGACGACTCTCCGCCAGGTGTCCATAGAGCCCATGCCTTCCCTCCTGGACGTCAGACAGCTCGTCACCCTCTACGGGGTCCTGCCTCTAGGTAAAGGCCCCACCTGCCCTGTCGCGCCTTTTCTGGAAGCAGGGGTGTCTGCTTCTGTCTTCCTGCTCATCCTCAACGGGCTGACTCTTCCTACTGAGAATCCTGAGGGAGGGTCGTTCCGCTGGGACAGTGCGTCCTGGACACGCGGAGAGGCGCACCCGGGAAGCACACCTGCGGCGTCCTTGAACGTGTGCGGAGCACTCTGAGCTCCAGGGCCTGGCAGGTGTCCTCAGCGCCTGCCATTCAAAGTAGTCAAATTAGACAAAGGCTAATAGCTTGCTTGTGATAAGCTCACCAGGCCCTGCCAGGTTCCGCTCCAGCCGCTGAGTGAGGTTCGACCGTGATGGTTCAGGCAGACGGACCAGGGTCTGCAGCAAAGTCGGGGCTCTCCCTGCAGATTCCTGCGGCTCTTCCCCACGTGCGCGTGTGTTGTCGTGACCCCAGTCTGTGTGTGTCCTGAGCCAGCTGGGGCCGGAGCGAGAGCTCCAGCCAGGCTGTGCTCTGACGACCATTCTGAAACAAAAATAGCATTGTGTTTGATGAAATCACTTTAAAGCGAAAAGGGAGTCGTTTGGACCCTTACTACCTTGTTCCACTTTGACTGAAATACGAACTTAAACCTACTGGCAAGAAATAGTTTATTCTTCTTTCAACTTCATGTCAGAAGTAGGAAATAGAATTTGGGGTCAACAAACAAAAAATATATATATATAAAACATCAACAAATATATAATACTTTGGGGTCAACAAAATAAATATCCAATATTTAGGGGGGCCGTGTGAATAAAAGAAGCAGATTAGCCCTCGGGCCTCATCTCAGGCTGATGGAAAGCGTTGAAGCCTAACGCACCGAGAGCTGGCGAGGTTTTAACAGAACTCCTCACAAACTGGGGTGTGGTGTACTCACATCCGCGGCGGGCAGAGACGACAGGCTGGCCTGAGGGTACCGGGCGGTGTGCCCAGGAAGCATCCGCCGGACCCTCCTGTTGTCAGTGAGGAGCCGGAAGTCCCCGCGGGCCCTGACCTCTCCGGAGTGGGGTGTGACCAGTTCGTGAGTTTGCAGCATACAAACAAGTCAGACAGAGAAGCAACCTCAGACGTCAGCCCTCCAGGGCTTTGCCTGAATCTCATACGTCCAAAATAGGACCCAGATACGAAGAAGAATGTGTTTGTTGGCCTGACTGTTCAGGCTGATGCCGGGACTGACCCAGGTGGCCACTCGGCAGAGGGCACTGTGGGCATACCGCGAGCCCACCCTCCACGCCGCCAGGCGACAAAGCTCCCGCCAGCCTCCAGGTCCTCAGGAGCCTCAGCCAGGCCCCAGGGGCAAGGTTTGAGTTCTCAAAGCCCCCGGGCAGTCAGGGAGTGCCCAGGAGGCAGCTGGTCAGCATCCACTCCTCACATCCACCCGCCCCCAGAAATGTCACTGCCCCCACATTGTGAAAGGAAAAAGGGGGACGGAGAGAGCGTGTCTGGAGCAGAAACTG